GTTAATTCATCAAAGGACTTTGAAATACGTTAACACAAATATTCACCATATGAGTTAATTTGTCATGCGCAAAACAAGACCCCTTCCACCAAGGTCAATGTCACATTTTTGATACTGAACATGGTCTTATTTTCTCTGTTACAAGAATGAGTCCAAAAGCATTTTTAAAAAAATAAAAACTACAAATATAAAGAGGTAACAGTAATAGGGAGTATTTATAAAAATAACTACATTTATTGCCTAATTCCGGTAATAAAAACTCATACTGCAGGAGTTATAAATGAAACCAAACTCGACTATGTTATTATATTTATATGTTGACTATATTTTGCATGTGCATATATAGACTTTGGCAACAATTGCACTGAAATCCAGATACATACATTCAACTTTTGAAATAAAAAAAATCTTGTTTAATTTATTCTTATCTTTAAAAAAGATGACTAATATAATATGACATCCTTCGTATATTCTTTTCGGACCATTACACTATTTCTTCTCAAGTCTTCTGATTTCAGAGAAATATATTCCAATTTAACGCAAATATACACACGAAGCAACAATGTTAGTTGTAAACATAAAAAAATCATTCGAAATTGTAACTTGATCTTTTGATAAATTGATATATTGTTTGTGCTTAATTGCTTATTTCTATGAAAGGATACTATAAATACCAGAAGAATAATATTGGGAAAACCTGAAATTACAAAAGTCTTAAAAATAAACCTGAACAGTGTAACGTCATGGTAAGCAATGTCATTAAATCCCGATCAATATAAATACTATATCGATTGTTGAGCACAATTGTTTAAACATTTGGTTTATCGGTTTATCAAAGTGTATATTGTATAGCACGGAGACAAAGTAAAATAATCTGGTGTTAATGATTTGCCATAATTTCATGTTCTAGTGAACGTTTTTATAAATGATAAGAAACTATAACGATAACGTGATCATATTCATGCTCCTTTAGTGGCTACAGTCGCTGGATTGAAGGAAAAACACTATTTTTCTATCAATAATTACAATATATCTTTAATTTCAAATTATCATATAATATAAATTTTTTTTTTGACGTTATACAATCTTTAAAACGTAAAGTATTGGAATCGATGATCCCAATGGAATGGACCAGACATATATATAGGATATTGAATGAGTGTAAGTTCAATACTGAATTTATTGCACGAGTTGAATATGATTATATTATGCGAGCCTCTGGCGATCATAATAATATTTTATTCAACGAGTGCAATAAATTCAGTAATGAACTTACACGAATTTAATATTCTATTTATCACATACCCCAAATAATGACCGGTTTAAGTGAAATAAGAGTCAATTTTCATTGACGCGCCTATAGTTTAACCCTAACATTTAGCGTGTCTTTACACTATATTTTTATAACGCTAATGACGTGACGTCAAAATATATGCACGGCCGTGCAAATACAATTTTTTACGGAGTCGCAAAATCGGCACGGGTGTGTGATAAATTACATTATTAATACAACATTTGCCCAAATCTGATAAGAAACAGTTCGAGGTTATCATAGATTAAGTGAACTAATGAAAGTATAAACATTTAAACCCAGAAAACAACTTTTTGATAAAGGCTATGTTTACATTAAAAGAAAATGAAAAGTAAATATTGCGTAATTTAACATACATGTATGTACATACCTACTACAGTGGGATTGCTTATTCAACACACATTTCATTTTCATGTAGAGATAATAAATAACTAATAACATGTAAATGTTCTGTTTTTAATCTACAAATACATATCGATTGATATTATTGATTTTTATCTAGTGATCGAAATTATAAAAGTTTATAAATGTTTTCTGTGTTCTACAATGTATACAGATATTTGTTTTTCATAAATACCATAATATTTTGTTCCGATATTTCTTTTAGTGTGTTTTGTGATAATACTTTAAATATGTTCTGCTCTATTATTTTTTTATTTTTCAAAAATACAGGAGTATTACACATTTTTTTAAAAGTAAAGGGGGGGGGGATTTTTTATCGTCTGACTTAACATACATACAGTTATTGTTGAATTTAAATAAAGGTTTAATGGTATATATATAACAATGTCTAAACTAACCAGTTACTGTTACCAAAGGGAAAACACTGAAAAACAGCACGAAACCTTGTACATTAGTAACATATAAATAAATGAAAAAAATAAATAACTTCTTCTTAAATATTAGAATATTTTCTGATCCTCTACAAGATTTAAAATGAACTTCAAACATAATTTCGCAAGATAAACTTGTGTTTTTGTGCGTTAAATATACATGTATACGCAGTTTTGCTCACTTGAGTTGACAATCGATTGTATAATGTACATGTATAAGTATAGAGCAGTAAATGGTTTTAAATGAATGGTTTACCATTACGTTTTATGTTGTGGGATACCCACCATGTCATTCTTTAGTTATTTATAGTAACCTTTCAAAGAAATTACTATTCTTTTCGGAAATTCCGCGTAGAATCCATAACAAAAACAACCACACATTAATTCTCAGTATATCAATTTTAAAATGTTTCTTAATGTACACACATTTTATTATGGGTATGTTCATGATGTTACTGACTTTCTCAATTTGTTTTTATTGTCGTATATCTGCGATATTGAAGACTTATTCCGTCTGATTCTCGAACATGATGTTCTCGTAAAGGACACACACATTCCTTTACTTGGGGACCATAAGCATCTTTTCATTAATTACCACGATATTGTCACATTGAGAGTTCCATGATCACCCCCATGTGACACATCTGCGGGTTTATCTAAATTCAAGTTTCATCATGTCATATATAAATAAAGAATACTGCTCAAGCTGGCCGTAAGGTGACGTTGACTGGGATTTAACTCAATACAGGATTAGAGCAGTACCTCTAGACGCTCGCAGAAATCATGATCACAAAGTAGACAATTATCGTGTTTTTTCGCCGATTTCTACATTTTTCATTCATTATCATACATAAATCGGTGTGAAAAGATGAATTAGACCTATAAAAGTTTATTCTGTTGGGTAAAAAAAGCAAGATTTTAGCATTTTATGATTCAAGCGCCTTGCCCGGTATATACCGGAATACGGTATTTAGTGTGGTGCTCCAATCCTTTTTTTAGTCTCACCCTGTTGACAGTAGCTTGTAGGTGTTTATGCTACAGTTCATGAACAGGCTCAGTCAAACTGAGCCTGCAATATTTTCAATTTTCCACTTTTATATTAAAAAGACCACAATAGAACGTGACAGTGCTCTACAACTCAAATTCGTTTTTTTCGATACCAGAGATGCTTTACATATTAACAATATTAATACCTATTATATCTGCAGATTTTACAGATTTTAGATACGTAATGCATTTCTTTAAACTGAAACTGAAACAAGCAATGACAAAGTTACTTATAAATCTTTCAATTCATAGAATAAGAATTAAAATCAACTAGAATATTAGCTAGATTAAATCTAATATATGATTTCTTTTTAAATCAGGATAAATGCATCATCCCATACAAACCTCCTGTTAATGAGAGAATATTGAATGAGTGTGGGTTCATTACTAAATTTATTGAACGAGTTGAATAAAATAATATTATGCGAACCTCGGTGAAAAATAATCGCTCTTTCATTGACGCGCAAAGAATTGTTTTATTCAACGAGTTCAAGAAATTAAGTAATTAATCTACACGAATGAAATATTCTTTTTATCACATATCTAAAATGAGAACGGCAAACTTTTAAAAAGAGTCATTTTTCATTGACGTGCCTCTAATTGTGTAACGTTAACATTAGGGCGTTTTTTATGTATATAGCGCAAATGAGGTCACGACCAGTGTAATATCGCGGTTTATGTGATAAAGCATCTTATCAGATACCCGTGCCGCTTTTCCGTTTCCGTTAAAACTGTATTGTACGACCGTGAATATATTTAAACGTGACGTCATTTGCTTTCCCCCATGAGCATATTGTGAAAAATGGCCATTTTCACTGAAAAGCCTCCTGTTACAAGTTCAAACTGCTATGAAACTATGAAAAATGCTTCAATACTAATCAAACTTGGCACAAATGTTGACTGGACCATTGCCTTTGTAACGACATGCTCAGTCTTAAATTTCTTGTTACCATGGCAACGAGGGGACATCTCAAAATTGCCAAAAATCCCTTTTTTGCCTCGAATTTTTCCATCAAAATTTATTTCAAAGTGCTGCAACTTCTCAAGGGATTGAGATAGAGTCAAAGGCATATTCAGCGTTGGTTACACGTTACCTTATGATCGACCTGGGGTCATTTAAAGCCTCTCACAAGTCCAACATTTTCTTGGCGATGAGGGGGACTCCGCCCCCCCTTCAAACCCCCCAAACAGAAGGGGGCACATCCCCCTTCTGGCAACCCCCTGATGTAATATTTGGATGGGGGACGGCGCCGAAAAAATGGTCACTTTTTTTAACAACATATCTCAAACAAAAGACAGTGTTTGGGGCCTAAATAGGGTATTTTTTCACTGTTTGAGGCCTCAAAAAGGGGGGGGGCAAAAAGCCGTCGAAACACGTGTCGTATAGCTGGTTGCACAGGCTAATTAGTCATACATGCTATATTCAAAAAGAATGACAAGTCAACATGTATATACATATATTAGGGTTTTTATTTCTTAATGTGCACTATGGAACATGACATGATTTATGAGTATTATAGTGCAGGAGATGCATACGGACTAGCTTATGTCAAGATGATTTATATATGTAACTCTAAAACGTGTGTATTGATATACATTATAAAATGTCCTTAGGACAGGTTGATATTATATATACTATTCTCAAATGTCAGAGTAGGGGAGTTCAGTTTTGGTATTCAACTCGTTCACATGTGTGTTTGTATTTGTATATTAAAAGTATGTAACATCCGTGAGTTTCTTTCTACGTTATACGACAACGGTTGATTTGGCGCCTAAGACCAGCGATGTCGAAGCGAACGATTTTTGACAGCGGGACACAACGAAGTACCTGTAACAGAAAATTAAAGGTGAGTGATCGTTTATATTACCTGTAATTTGCTAATTTTGAAGATGTCAGATCAAGATATAGCTACAATTTTTGAACATTTGTCAGATAAATTAGAAAATATTTCAAACTGTCATAGGTACACAGGGTTTATCAGAAATAGTAACAAAATTTTGATGGAAATTCTAAATATTTTAATGACTGGATAAAATCTATAGAAAAATATGCTGTTTTAAAAGGTTTGGATGATAATAAAATAAAGTTAGTCGCATTTCAATCAAGTAAATGGACTGTAAGCGATTTTATATGTAGATATTTGCGTGATAATCCTCGTAATTCGTGGGGAACAATTAAAAGAAGAAATAAGTACTAGATTTGGGGAAATTAAAGATTTACATCATGAATTTTATCTTTTGAGAAAATTTAAAACAAGATTTTGGGAGAAAGTGTTCAAATTTTTGGGGAAAAAATTTATTAATTGTGCTGAAACCGCTTATGAAAATTATAAACTAGGAGATAATAGTTTAATTGAACTTCAGTTAGTAGAATTGTTTACGGATAATTTAGCGCATAATTATTTAAAACTTAAACTTATGAGAGAAAAGCCAAAAACTTTACAAGAAGCAATTACTTGCGCAATGAATGAACAGAATTTCAGAGCTAGATTTTCTGCAAGAGTAAAATTTTCTAATGCTCAAAATCACGCAAAATACAATAATTACAGAGCAAATAATTCTAATAAATATTATACAAGAAATTTTTGCGTGTACTGTAAGAGACCAGGTCACCATGTGCGTAAATTGTAGATTTAGGAAAAATGAAATATATTCTGTATTTCACCGACAAAATTTTTCACGATTTAGGAAAAAATAATAGCAATAATAGTTTGAAATCAAAGATTAAGTGCTGGAAATGTAATAATTTTGGTCATATTATGCGTGAATGTCGTAAACAAAATTTTTACGACAGAAACAAAATAAATTTCAGGAAAACTAGCAAGTTCCTGTCACAAAGGGGTCATTGACAGGAACGATAAAATACCAAAATTTAGTATAGCATTAGCTGGAAGCCCTAATTCGTGTTTGATTAAAATAGAAAACTATAAATACAGATCGTTAGTAGATTCAGGTGCTGAAGTTTGTCTCTTCTGCATCGCAGAATATATAGAAAATTGAAGAATCCCCCTCAACTTATAAAACAGAAAAATAAATTTATGTTCAGTTGACGGAAATTATTTACATATAGATGGTTATATAAATCTAAATTTTCAAAATAGGGAAAACAGAAACAACTCAAAAATTCTATGTTGTTTCTAAAATGAATAGAAATATTATTTTAGGCCGTGATTGGTTAACACAAAATGGCGTTAGATTATATTTTGATTTAGGCTGCTTAAGAGTTAATAATACATATGTACCCCTCGAGAAGATATTCATATTGCATCAATTGTTAGATTAAAACAGGATGTTATTCTGAAACCTCAAACAGTTAATGTGTGCACTGCTAAGTTAAAACAAAATCCAGGATTGGAAAATGATAAATTATATGAATTAAAAAGTATAGAAACTGGAATGATTGCTTCTGAACCAGGTCTTATGATAACAAATTCTGTTATGAAACTTTCGGCTGATAGAAGATTTCCTATTATGATTGTCAATAATACTCATAAAACTATAAGATTGAAACGAGATTCAGTAGTTGCTAAAGTTTCAGAAGTTGAGAGCATTAACTCGGTCACAGAGGCTCTTCAAACAACTTCCCCCTCTTAACAACGATTTCGAACATGAATTATTCATACACCTTCAGAGCATTTTAATATTGTTAGAGACTTATTAAGGAAAAATAGAAATATTTTTCGCAAATAAAAGATTCTGAATTATCACAGACAGATACTGTGACCATGAAAATACCAACAGGTAATCATCCTCCAAATCAAATTACGCCCATATCGCACACCTTTAAACAATAGAAAATTTATGAGTGACGCAATAGATGAGATGTTAGATGCTAATATTATAAGAAGAAGTCACAGTCCTTATTCATTTCCTGTTGTTATTGTCGGGAAACGTGACGGCAGTAAACGGTTTTGTGTTGATTTTAGACAATTGAATAAAATTACAAAGCCAACATCATATCCTCTCCCATTAATTGATGATATTTTAACACTACTAGGGTCTTCAAAATATTTTACAAACACTAGACATGCGATCAGGGTTTTGGCAAATACCCGTGCATGAATCAGACAAGGAAAAACGGCTTTTTACGACATTCCGAGGCTTGTTTGAGTTTCAACCGAACACCTTTTGGCCTAGTTTCTGCCCCTGGAGTTTTCCAAGAACTCATGTCACATGTCTTACAAGGTTTAGAGGCATTTGCTGTCAGTTATCTTGACGACATTCTAATTTTCGAAGTCATTAAATGAACATTTATCACATATACAGACAGTATTTTCAAAGCTTAAAGAGCATAAATTAAAACTTAAACTGAAAAAGTGCAGTTTTATTCAGCAACAAACAAAGTACCTTGGTTTTATAATTGATCAGGAAGGTATAAAACCAGACCCAGAAAAAGTAAAAGCTATTAGGTCACTTCCGGTACCAAAATGTGTTAAAGATGTCAGATCTTTACTTGGTGCTGCTGGTTTTTATAGAAGATTTTGCCCTAAATATTCTAAAATTGTTGAACCTCTAATCAATCTTACAAGAAAACGTGTTTTGTTTAAATGGACAAAAGAATGTCAAGAAAGTTTTGAACAATTAAAGAAAATGTTAACACGTATTCCACTTTTAGCATTCCCAGACCCCAAATAAGCCTTATATTCTATACACGGACTCCTCAGATTTAGTGGTCGGAGCATGTTTAAGTCAGAAATGTGACAAATCTGGTATTGAAAAAACCTATATACTTCTTATCTCTCATAAATTAAGTGAATCTCAAAGAAAGTACAGTACCATAGAAAAAGAAGCATTCAGTATTCATTATGCGTTTACAAAAATTAGATGTTTATTTACATAATGCAGAGTTTACTATATTTACAGACCATAAACCTTTAAAAATATCTTCTAGAAGCACCTATGCAAAACAAAAGAATTCAGCTTTGGGCTTTAAATATTTCTGCCTATAACTGTAAAATTGAATATTTGCCAGGAAAATTAAATTTAATTGCCGATTTCTTTTCTAGACCTCCAGCTGATGATAAAATGCTAACAAGTCCGATATTTGAACTTTATGAGCCTGATATAAATGACAATGCCTTTGAAATAACAGTCTCAAATTCAAGTAATAATTCAAATAATGATAATGTACATGCTGTGAAAAACTGATGAAAGCTATGAAGTAAATGCTTTTTGATTCTACGCACTTTAATGCCAAAGAAATAGCAAACAAAGAATACCAATTTCAAGAGCCAATTGTAGAAGATATTAAACAATTCGAAAAATTAAATATGGCCTCAGAGCAAGATAAAGATCAAACTATTCTTGAACTGAAAATGTTACTACGTCACGGACAGCCAACTAAATCAGTGCAGAACAAATATTTAGAAATTGACCAAATTCTTTATTATCTGTCTAATGTAGATGATAATCCTAATCTTTAGATTGTTTGTTCCGCAACACTTAAAACACACCTTGTCATTACTTCAATATCATTTAAATAATGGTCACCCAGGAACACAGAGGTTATTTACAACAATAAAACAAAAATATTTTTGGCCAAATATGTTCAAAGAATTGTATGAATATGTTTCTAAATGTGTTGATTGTCAGTCACGTAATCTTACAAAAATAAAAGCACCTATGGGCGAAACAAGAGTACCAATGTATTCATTTCAGACCATGAGTATCGACGTTATAGGGCCATATGAGAAAACAATGAGTGGTAACCGCTACATTATTTGTTTTATTGACCTTTACAGTGGTTATCCCGAGTGTTTCCCTACTGCTGACAAAAGTACTGATACAATTATACATTTACTTTTAGAAGAAATTTACCCTAGATACGCATGTCCATTACAAATTGTCACTGACAATGGATCAGAATTTACAAGTAATGCTTTTAAAGAAACACTTAAAGAGTTAAGAATTGATCACGTGCGTACAACTACCTATCATGCTGCCGGAAACGCGAAAAATGAACGTTCTCACCATGTCATACATGATATCTTAGCTAAAAGAATCCAGGGAAATCTCAAACAATGGGATATTCATCTTAACATGACACTAGCCGCACTTAGATTCAATGTCTCTAGGACTTCAAAGCATAGTCCATTTTATTTGTTATATAACCGTGAGGCATTATTACCCGTCGACCTGTTGCTACAACCAAGGCAGCGCTATCATGGCGAAGAGTATCACAAAATTGCATTACAAGAACAACATAATACTTTTCTATCTGTTTATAAAAACCTTAAAAAAGCAAAACGAGAACAAGCTAGCTATGCAGATAAGACCGCAAAAGATATAAAATTTGAAATAGGCGATCCCGTATTTTATAAAAATTTTTCGTAAGAGAAGCAAACTAGATGTGAATTGGAAGCCATTTTTATAGAATTATGGAGAAAAGGTCACCATTAACTTATATAATAAAAAATCAATTTGACAATTCAACAGTTAAAGTCCATGCAGAACAAATTAGGCTTGCAAATATTAATGACTGGTCAATACCAAAAGCAGATAATACTGGCCGACCAAAAATAAATGCCACATTTGTAGTTACACCTGAAAATAGCGATACTGATGATGCTTCAGAAATACCAGAATCAGTATTACCCCAAGTTGCTAAGAATGTAAGAAAAGAAAGGTCAAATTCTGATAGTGAAGATGATATTCCATTAGCCGAATTACAGAAACATCTTCGACAACAACAACAAATTTCAAATAATGAAAATGCTCAAAGTAATGCACATTCAGAAGAAATGCAATCGCAGACTGATTCAGAATTATCAGACTCAAATTCCATACAAGTAAATAGCAATCCTCCGTCACAAGCAACATATAATGCTATTCAGTCAGATTCAATGGCTGATGATAACGATTCGGATAAATGAAATGTTTATAAACTCTATTTCTAGTAAAAAGAAAAGTATTGTAAAACCTCGATATAAAGTATCTGGTAAGGTAAACACAAAGTTACAAAGTAAAGATAAAGGGTCGAAATCAAGTTTTAAAATGATTTTACAAGGATTAGCTGAATTGTTATAGAACGTTATATTCCGTGTTATATGCTATACTAATTTTCGGTAAATTGATCTCAGGCATTGTAAATAGTAATTATGGAAAGAAGAAAATATATATGTTCAAAGAAAACAATATAAAACAAAACAGAAAATTACATTATTTAACCATATATCTTTATATTTTTGGTGGTTGTATTCATTTGCATTAATCTTCAAGTTGTTTTTATTAGAACTATATATCTTAGATTTTTTTTATTATTGCTTAAAATGATCGTTATTCGCTATATGTTAATTAATAGATCGGTTAATTTAAATGCATTTCAAAGTAAATGACAGCACTTAATCATGAGTTTCAAATTGATTATTTACTTTATTTCATATTAGAATAACATGTGTATACATACATGTTTCAAATGTCAACGCACAATCATTAAATAAAGTTTAAATTGGGATAAGTCTTATTGTCGAAATAAACTAAAGTTAATAGCTTAGTTAAAACTAACAAAATAGGTCTAGAAAAGTAAAAAAAAAAAAAAAAAATTTAAATATCAAGTATTACATAAATAAGATACTTACACTAGAGAACATCTTTCATTGGAATTCTTATCCTATGCATTTTATGACAGTTGTCTTGTTGTTCATATATCTGAAACAAAATTATGTTTATTGTATATAATATCTATTAACCGATCTGACAACGGACGAAAATGCAACATATTGGTCTAACGATCACTTGTCGTCCAGTCAAGACAGAGAGGTGCGAGCGAATTCGCCGGTACAGTCAAACACCGCCTGACTAGAAATATTACAGTCAGCCTCTACGATGTCAAACTATGTACAACAAAACCATGCAGATATTACCATAAACACCTTCTTCGATGTAAAACCATGCAGATATAACCATAAACCCCTTCTTCGATGTAAAACCATGCAGATATAACCATAAACCCCTTCTTCGATGTAAAATTATATGAAATAAGCGTCTACGATGTTTAAAATACATAACTATGCTGTTACAGCCGTCAACAACAACAACAACAACAACAACAACAACAACAAAATTGTGGAATCAAATAAACTTTTGTTCCTGTCTTCAACCAGAGAAGCCGAAAACTTCCGTTTATCAATAGAATGTGTTTTTCTATGTGTTATATAAACTTAAAAACAAAAACCCAGAGAAATACTGATGACAACTTCAACATCACTTTGTTGTATTGTTCAATACAAGACATTCTTTTACAACGACGAAACAAGAACAGCCTTTACAGATGTGCCAATAAATATTCGAATATAACTTTATCAACGTGTGTATAAAGTCTACGTTTACACATATCAAATACATATATATTAATTTAAAAGAATCTTCAAGAACATCAAACATTTATGAACAATTATGAGTGTCAATTTAAAATTATTCTTTAGAAAGCTACATACCAACGATTTGAAATTCCCGACACGTCACGAAGACCAAGCCATACTGATGTCAGCAAGTACCTGTTACAAAAAATATACGTGTCACAGGAAGTGTTCAATGCGCATGCACAATACACGTTTTACAGGAAATGAAACACCTGGACATTTTATCAATTATCAATTGTTTATAATATTTTTTTTAACTTTTTCGTATATAAATATCTTTTCTACTCTTATCATACATATAATTCTGTTAAAATTTTATACCTTAAAGTTTTTCTAATTAATATTCTTAAAATAATTTGTTCTTTGAATATTGTTAACTTATTTGTTTGTTTTTTATGTTTTCTTGATCTCTAGAAATTAACTTTTTTTATTTTTTTATGATGAAATAAAGGAAATTTAATATTTATTGAAAAACTTATAAAGCTATAATATTTACCTTATGTTACTTTAACATATTATTTTTGTATTTTTTTGCATAAAGATGTTACTTTAACATATTATTTTTGTATTTTTTTGCATAAAGATTAATCGAACATTTAACAATAATTATTAATTTGCTTATTCAAACTTTTTAAAACTAATATCAAAAGTAAACTTACCTGTGCTACATTGTATCTATCCAAATTTTTCTATTAAAATGAATTCAAACAAAAAGGTTACGCACGATATACAATTGACCAATCAGAGATTATATGACTTAAGGTGATTTTTTTCTTTAAAAGATAAAGTAATAAAAAGTCGTTAGATAACATCTCTGACCGGACATCTCTGACCGGATATTACCTTAAGGGTAAAACAGATGTCAAGTTGATTTTAGATTTTAGATTTTTATAATCTGTTAGAACGAGTTTGAAATGTTTGATATTAAATAATAATTTGTTCAATACTTTTTTTTTTAAATATTTTTTTTTATAAGTAATGGAGGTATTGTCGTATAGCTGGTTGCACAGGCTAATTAGTCATACATGCTATATTCAAAAAGAATGACAAGTCAACATGTATATACATATATTAGGGTTTTTATTTCTTAATGTGCACTATGGAACATGACATGATTTATGAGTATTATAGTGCAGGAGATGCATACGGACTAGCTTATGTCAAGATGATTTATATATGTAACTCTAAAACGTGTGTATTGATATACATTATAAAATGTCCTTAGGACAGGTTGATATTATATATACTATTCTCAAATGTCAGAGTAGGGGAGTTCAGTTTTGGTATTCAACTCGTTCACATGTGTGTTTGTATTTGTATATTAAAAGTATGTAACATCCGTGAGTTCTTTCTACGTTATACGACACACGCTTATATAAGGGAAAAGGTTATACCAGAGGCCCACTTTATATTATTTTATACAACTCGTTAAATAAATTCAGTTTTGAACCTACACTCATTTAATATTCTCTATTTCTACGATACATTTAAGTTTGCATTTTACGAGATATTAAATGTAAGCATTCTACTATATATATACTATATATATAGCAGAATGCTTACCTTTAATATCTCGTATATATCTATGTCATAAAAAGTATCTTTTTACTCTAACTTTGTAATCAAGATTTCCGTTACGCAAAGATTAAGTCAGTTATTGGAAATATTTACAAATATCGAGACTGACATATTCATACCCCTCTACCTTAAGCAATGACAATGTTTTTTTATACATTATATGTAATAGAATAGGTCAGTTTTCTATTTATAGAACGTGAAATGTTTTGGTTTTTCCAATTCACCGCAGATCATGGATATTTAAAGAGCCATTTCTTCATGGGTTGATACATTCGATATTTTGTACTGGACAAGAACATACAATTTTATTATAGAATCTGTCAAATTAGGATTTAAGTATGTTGAGAGTCATACACGGAGATTGTACGGATATATAGAGAAAATGTCGCTAGATGTTGGTGATAAATGTGACAATTATATGGATGACACTGCAAGGAGAAAATATTGGTGTGAAGTGCTTCTACGGCTACCCCTGTTGTTCATTATACACCAGTGGTTACTGCTCATTCCAAATTCTAACTACTGGATTATTGATATAGTTCTATTCATCGTAAGATACGGAGGTTTGTTCCTTATTTGTGCTATTTTAGACACAGACAGTGGGGATTAGACTCTGCCCGCCCCCAACGTGATATGTCCCTCTAAACACTCTAATATTCAAACACTAAGGGGACATATGATTTTACACATATGAAAAATACCAATAATATTGAGAGGTATTACTTTCGTATATGTAAACAATTGTTTGAAAACCAGTTTAAGATGAACTGGTGTTCCAACACTTTTTACATATATGAAAAAAATTCCGTATTCCATCAAAAATACCGTATACCATCATGGCATCAAGTCTCAATAAAGTAAAGATTACCGACTCCAAAATGTAAATATGAATTCCCAAAACTTATAAAGCCTTATTAGTCATTATTGAATAAACCTTACCATGACTTTCCGGTGTAAATCAAGAGAATGTCGAATTATCTTCTAGATGCAATCAGAATAAACATTTAAACATCACATTTTAATATGAAAATCAACATTTAATTAAAACCGAAAGTAAAATTTTGCTTTCTGTCCAACAAATACAAGATGAGTTCCCGGCTCTGCGTGGAACGCTTGTCAAGCTGGTACACAAACCAGACGGCTATGAACGAAGCTATCCGATTATGTGGCCCCAGCTTTGCCGTGTGCAAAATGCGCAGCGCTTTTAAGTTTGGGAACCACATAATCGGATAGCTTCGTTCATAGCCGTCTGGTCCATTGAATTTATCGAAAGTTTTTGTCGTTGAAAAAAAACGGCGAGAATATTGATGTTTATTTCGGCTGTTGCGTTGTTTATATTACCGTTGAAGTTTAAAATTGACCATCATCGAGAAGAATTATATCTTCTGTGTCGATGGACCAAAGGATTATGTGAAAATATTGGAAATGGATTAAAATACATGGTGATTATGACGGTAGGGGTGCGGATTTTTTCCGGCGAACATTTTTATCTTGTGTATTATTATAGATGTTGAAATATGATTTTTTTTCAAAACGGCATATATTAAGATTTTTTGATATATATGATCAGTACATGTCCTGGGATTGACAAATATGCATTTTATTTGGATTTTAAAGGCGTTTTGAGCTCCAAACCCCAAGCGTCTGTGACGATTTCGATACAAGTTTAGTCGTGAGGAGATTATAGTGTTTGGTCCCGGCCAAGAGCGTTAACATAATATTCTAGGCTCAGGCCGCGTATCGGTTGGACACTTTACATTTTGGAGTCTGCAATCTTTACTTTATTGAGACTTGATGGTATACGGTATTTTTTCATATATGTAAAAATTGTTTGAAAACCAGTTTTATCGTTGTAATAGATGTCCCATTTGTGTTTAAATATTAAACTAGTTTTGATAGAGTGTTAACAGGAGAGTATCACGCTGGGGGCAGGATCAGACCACCAAGCGTCTGTATTTTTTTTCTGAAATTATGATTTTGAGTAGAGTAAACAATTTTTTGTATACAATGCACATTTTCAGATGGCAATTTGCACATAAGTTTTTGCGAGACATGTATAACGATTAGTCGTAATGAAGATAAAAATATCTGGAAACAAAGTGACCCCTCGGAAGCATTAATCACAACAAAATTACAAGAGAATTGCAGATTCGGTTTGATTAAGTCTGTACATGAGGGATAATGAATACGTGCAACATCCTCACGCCCCCCAGCACCGGCTTGAGTGGTACTCAATTCTCAACACTCAATAGTGCTGGCATCAATGATACCGAAGGACCAGAAAAATATAACAACACTGAAGTGAAGTACGGGGCAAATAATACCTACAATAATATTTGTTGTAAACAGTGGCGCTAAAATTATAATTTATTAAATAGTTAGATACATACTTCCTCCCCTCCGACTTAAAATCGCCCATGTAAATATTATTATTGTTTCTCTGCATATAGTTTTACAAATTCATCTTTGTTCATTTTAGAAATAAATTTTTGAGAAATCGCGTCGATCTATTTTCTAAGCGGATCTGAAATTCTCGGGCGACCAAACTTTCACTCGTAGGCTGTTATTCAAATTAGACCACGTGGCACTGTTTCGGTACTTTTACGTATTTTAGTACGGAAAAATTGAAACTCGGTCAAAATATTTTTTGAGAATTATAACCGTCTATTACTATTTCAATCGCCCAAGATTTTTTTTCTTTTTTAAATGGCGATAATTATTATTATGTTTGAAACACATGCTATACTTTATAATTTTATTTTTTCGCTCAATATGAAGAATATAATCACTTTAAATCAAGTTTGGTTCAAGTTTCTATTTTAAGTTATTAATTAGAATCACTGTACAATGTATCTGTAAGTAATGGAATAAAACATGTTTTTTTGTTATAAACAGATATTATAACCAGTTTTGAAATATACATGTACATGAATATTACGTTAACTTTGTCACAGTCGTGTACCAATCACACCACACTGGAGCAGATAGCATTTTTAACTACATGCATGTATAATGAAAGTTATGATAAATATGTCAATATTTATATTTCTTTGTATATTCTACAGTGGCTCATTTTTTGGTCAGATCTTGGGCTTTCAACAGCGGAGTTCTTCTTCAAGCCTACATTACTCTTACATTCGACATAATAATGGCCTGGATTAAATACATCGACTACTGGACATACCAAGATGAAGCCTGTGAAATTTGTCATGATAAGAACGTGATGGTGTGGTCAGATGTGACAGACAATGTAAGGTTACCATTGACTTGCTCAATTATACTGCAACTGATATATCTTTGCACAAGGCCCGGAGCATTAAGTCATAGATCGAAATACGATGGTCCATCAATGCTATATATTGGATTACTGTCAACACTGGTTCCCAGAATTTTGAGCACTCTTAGTATATTTCCTGCCTTTATGTCAGAATTGTCGTACTGGATTGACATTTTTTTACTGATTGTAATAATTGTTTTTGAGGTTGTCTCACTGCTGATCATAGATGCAACAGTTGATAGAAACAAGCTTATGTCTCTGATCGCCAAGAAAAATCAAACAAATGAAACTGAAACAAAAAATAAATATAAATCAGCAATTAAAGATTTAAAGTGTCGTATAGAGATCCGAAATCAAGGACAGAATATGTTTCCAGGAAAATGGTTTGTGAGAGATTCCATGGCGTTCTTTGCGATTGTTTATCTAACAACAATTTTATTAATTGAGGTAACAGTCTATCAAAGACCGATATTGTCGTTTATGTCATTAAACACTTGCCTAGAAGTTCTTGCAAGATGGTGCACTACGCATGTTATTGTACTTGTTATTTCTTACGTCATGGGTTTATTGTCCAACGTTACTGTTGCCCTAGGTAACTGGTTCCTGACAACAGAAATCAACCTCACTGAGGCTTTCAATGCTGATATTGTAAA